ATATGCAGCTTGGATTACTGATTGACCACGAATGATGGTGTCTCTCAGGCGGCCGCACAGCATGCGACTGAAAAGTTTGGACATAATTGCCCATCTCGCTGTAGGTCTGTAATTTGCCGACAGGTCTGCATCACCTGTCTTGTACAAGACCGAGATCCGCGATGTTAGCCAGCCCTCAGGTATTCTTTGAAAGGGGTCGAGAAAAGCGATGAAAGCGCCAAACATCAAATCCCCAAGCAAGGGGAAATCAATCTTTAGAAATTCAGACTTTTGCCGTGGTCATCGGCTGCCTTTCCTTGACTCATATGTCTGATGGCTTCGTCCAATTCCGCGGCTGTGAACGGTTCGATAGGAGAGGCGCTGTCTGTCTCGTAGAAGCTCGAACGGTCACCGCCCCGGGTCGGCGATGCCTGTCTTGTCGTTGTGAGTTACACCGTCTGCGTCTCTCATCTCGATGATGTGCGTCTTCTTCCGCTTGCCCATCAATGCCGCCAGATCCTGCGCGCCCCGAGAATCGGATAGTGCCTTGTCCAGCTTCGCCAGCTGAGCTTTGGAACGACTGGCCCGTATCGTCTTCTGAATGCCTTTGCCCCATTCGACTCTCAGTCATGTTTTGTCTTTCTCTGACAAGCTGGTGGATTGCAGGCTCCGTCTCATCTGGATCATCGTGCGCAGCCTGTCTTCTGATCCATCTGGCGGCGCACGTGCATTTGTTGCACTGGACTGGTCCCTGTCCTCGGAAGCGGCGCGGACATGCACTCGTTGAGAGCATCGATCCGGCTGCATTCAGCTCTGACCACTTGACGATTCTGAGGCGATGTCCTAAGAGAAGCTGAAATGACTGTCCCGGGGCCCATACTGTGTTTTGCTTTCTCCTCTTCTTCCTCTTCGGCTTCTTGCTTGTCGGCAAGGCGAGCTGCAACCGCACCGGTCTGTGATCCGAGCCGACGTCGAATGAGTCAAAAACATAGCAGTGTACTGTACGTGAAAATTTGCGCCGGTCTGATAAGAAGTAGTCCAGCTGGGAATGGCGGTCTCCATTCCTGTACGTCCATGCGTCTTCCCACGAAGCTGGGCGAAAAGAGTTCAGTATGGGAATGTCCCGCAGGGAAGACAACCGAAGCAACATATTACCTGTCTCGCTGCGCCTCGGCATCGGATTCTGCCCCATGACGACGCAATTACCCTGAAGCCCACGCAGCCCAATTTCAGCATTAAAATCGCTGGCAATGATGGCAGGGCGCCTCTGAAGAGATGCTTGCCAGCGCTCTTTCTGTATTCTGGCGTATACCGATTCACTTTCCTGCTTTTCCTGTTTCGAGTGGGGCATGAACAGAGCGATGAATCGGATGACTCAGGAGGGAAAGAAACACACAGACACAAATAATCGTGGACTCCCAGGAAAATATACAAACATATGGGAAGTGGGGGGGAAGACAAAAACCCAGAAAATATTTGAAACTATGGGGAATCCTTTTATTTGTATGTATTTATTTGTGTGTCCCAGGGCCCCTTCAGTGACACCGATCACCCAGACAGCCGCGTCCAGAACAGCGAGTCGATTGGAAAGTGTTCGGAAAAAGTCTGTGCGGCCACGGGCTGCGGAGCAGAAAACCTACTCCGCAGCTTCAGCGTGTGCTGCCACGCCCGTACCAGTCCGTGATGGCCGTGCGCCATCTCCCACGCCGCTCGCTCCCTCCAAATTTCGGCGACTACGATGACGTCCCAACGTTCTTCTCCGACCTTTGCTGAACATCTGTCTATGCGGCCTTCGAAACAAATCAGGGAGTATATGTTGTACTCAGTCACAACAAAGCTCATATCTGCTATGCTGCAGTGGACCTTGCCTTGGCCATGGCATTTTGGATCGCTTCGACGGGTGCCTGATGACATCGCGGCGGAGCACTCCACGGCGTCCTCAATCGCTTTCGCCGTGACTGTGACTCCGACTTCTTTGAGCCTCCCTTCGTCGAGGTGTGATGCCCCGCTTCTCCCTCTCCCCGCCACTCCCCGACCATGACGCGCTTCATCATGAGCACGCCCTGGCGGTAGTCAACTCGCACGCCTTCCGCGGTTGCCAACCCCACTTCGATGACGATCTTCCTGTATTTCCTCAGGGTTGAGCCTTTCAACCAGTCCTCAAGGCTCCCTGCTGGCAGAAATCCACAAGGATTTGTCCTGGAAGGTGTGCTTCGGCTTGCCGTTCGCTATCTGGAGATATTCGTACATGTGCTTGGCGGTGTCGAAACGCACGAAGCCAACACTGCCGAACGAGTACGCGTATGCCTCGTCGACGCCGCCCGCGAAGCTCAGCATGTTCTGTTCGATGTACTCAGTCACGACCTGCTTGTCGGAATCCTCCGGGAAGCCTCCGATCACCGCCGCGCGAGAGAGAATTTATCTTTCTCCTCGGCCGTACGCTGCTTGTCCGTCTTATCTGCGATATTCAATGGCATCGTCATGAGGTTTTTGATCATCTTCTCAACGTCCGTCTTCGTCAAGAACTTGTTGTTCATGTCATAGATTTGGTCCTCGAGGCTCGTCAACTTCTGTATGGCTTCGTCTGCCATCTCAGACGCCAAACCCGCCGTCAGTTTCACCTGAGCGAGCTCGGTCTTGACTTCCTGCACGTCCGCCTGGAGGCTCTTAACCATGCCGACTAACTGGTTTCGGATCTGCCCTTGATTGGTTGCCCAGGCCGGCGGCTGCTCATCCTTGTCCTGCTTCTCCTCGGCTCCTTCTTTCTCGCCGTCGTCATTTACTTCCTTCATCACGGCCTCCTCACCCTTCCGGGTTGGCGACCAGTGCACGCAGGGCATCCATGAGGCCGATCGCGCCCTGGACGCCCACGAAGAATGAGATTCGAGTTGGCTGGACCCAAAACGAGTACTTGAGCCAAAACGAGGAGTACTTTGAGGGCATCGCTGGAGGCCTACTTGAAATTCTCTCGGAGGCTTGTAGGGCCTCTAGAAGCATTGTGGCGATGGGTTGGAGCTTCAGGGGGGGGTCGTTCTGGAGCGCATTGCACCAGCTTGGTCGCCATCTCTCACCGCCTTGGAGACGTCTGAAGACGCAAAAGAGCGCCCGGGAGCAGGACTAGGCAGGCTGCTCTTGACCCAGGCCATCGAGAAGGAAACATATATCTCACCAGCTAACTACAGTCGGGGCGCTGAAGAAGGAAACCTTTTCGTTGGGAAGGGGCTCCGTGTTCCTTAAGTGTTTCACAGCTTGCCTCAAGTTGTTCTTAGGTGTTCGATGGGAAATCGAACTTTAACTGATGGGAAAGAGGGGCCTCGTTCCTTATTTAGGGTTCCTTAGGTCAACGCCCCGACTGTAGGAAGGCTGCTCTGGACCCAGGCCATCGAGAAGGAAACAGAAATCTCACCAGCTAACTATTGCCGCCCTCTTGCTACACGAGCGCGCCAGCGCGGTGGCGGACAACTGCCCAGGGACACTTTGACCACGCACCCTATGCAAAAGTCCAAGAGTGCCTGCATTCGGCCAAACAGAGAACAGCACTGCCACCATTCAAGAGCACGCGCTCCAGGAGCATCTGACAGGAACACCGCTGGAGAATATCATATTCCGCCTCTGCACCAGACGGTCGTCCAGAGTGTTGTTCTGCAGCCCCGAAGAGTTGTAGCGCCAGCCAGCAGGCGCCGAGGAGGAAGGGAAGGAGGAGGAGGAGGAGGAGGAGGAGGAGGGGGAATTCGTTGCTCGAGTTCCGACGACTGCAGAGAATGGGGTTGCCAACGCGGCCACTGACATTAAATCGCCATGGGCACGATTTTGCCCCATTCTGACGAGCGAATACGATATGGCCAATGACTTCAGGCTGCCATTCAAGCGAGAATGTTGCAGCGGAATGTTGACGAACATGGAATCGACGGCCTCGCTTCTGCGTGCGGAGATTGATTCGATGGAGTGATGCGAACTGTGTTTGGGAGTTGCTAGTGCGCAGCGCAGTCGAATTTGAGTAAGATCGACTGCCAGTGCCTGGGTGCCGTTGGCTGTGCCGAATAAAGGAGAAGAGTAAGAGGAACAGTTGGAGGGGAATCGCGGGCTAAGCTTACCAGGAGCAAGTGAAGGAGAAGCAGGATCAAAGGAGGAGGAGGAGGACGACGACGACGAGGACGAGGACGATACAGTCATTTTGCTGCGGACCCGAATCCTGACCCCTGAAGGTCCCCGGATGTCCCTGGATGCCCTGCCGGCGTTCAGAGACCCGTAGGTTCCCGAATGAGGCATTACACGAGCAGAAGCATGACAGTTCACAAACAAAATCAGCTGCAGATGACAGCAGCTCGCACGGGGTAAAGAGTAGATGTATAGTGACGGGCATCGGGAGAAAGGAGCGCGCATGAAGCGATCTCTTCTCAGAAATTTGGGCGGGCCACGGCACGGGCCGCAGCGACTTGATTGCGCTCGCTGGGTTGCAACCTCGGGGCGAAGCCTGGCGCTGACGACAAAGGCGGAGGAGTGAGGAGGAAGGGGAGGAGGCAGAGATTTAGGAGGACGGTGGAGGCAGAGTGCATAGCAGCGCTCGGCGCGAACCACGATGCCACCAGCTGTCAGCTGCTGCCAGGTGGGGGAAGAGGTGTGGAGGAGGAGCCACGACGGCGGAGGAGGAGATGGAGGAGGCATGGAGGCGGAGGAAGGGGAGGATGCAGAGGTTTGGAGGAAGAGGAAGGTGAGGAGGACGAGGTGGAGGAGGAGGAGGAGGCGAAGGTTTGGAGGATGAGGAGGAGGAGGAGGAGGAGGAGGAGGAGGAGGAGGAGGAGGAAGGAGAGAGGAGGAGGAGGAGGAGGAGGAGGCGGCCGAGGCTTGGAAGAGGAGGAAGGAGAGAAGGAGGAGGAGGAGGAGGAGGAGGCGGCCGAGGCTTGGAAGAGGAGGAAGGAGAGGAGGAGGAGGAGGAGGAGGAGGAGGAGGAGGCGTGGCGTGGAGGAAGGAGCAGGGCAAATGTTTGAAGGAACACGGGGGGGTGGAGCGCCCGTTCGCAGGCCCGGTTTCCACAGTGGAAGGACACGGGTCTCGAGGGCGTGCGCGCCGCCGCGAATGGCGACCTCGGCGACCAGGGGATCGACATCATACGGCAGTGCCTCAGGCACCGTCGGTGGTCGACGTCGTCCTCCTCCTTATCCTCCTCCCCCTCCTCTTCCTCCCCTTCCCCTCGTCCTCCCCTTCCTCCTTCCACCGAGTCGCCGTCGGCATCTGAGGCCCGAGAATCAAGCATGAAGGAACTACACCGAACATACATTCACAAGGCTCCCATCTTGCTGATCGCACGGCCCAGGGAGGGAGCAAGGGGCAATGAAGATAGCGCTAAGCAGCATACTATTAATCTTCCTTGCAGGCGGGATGTACAATGCATACAACATACCGCTGGCCGCCAGCTTGAACCAGAGGCTGGAGGAGATCAACCATGGAAGGATGGGACGCGGTAGGACTCACAGGCGCACACAAATGGGTTGGACCCGAACCGACACAGACGAACGATCTGGGTCACCAATGGGGAATCCGATTCGGAGGTAAGAATAACTGATATGTTGCACAGGCATGGTGGGTAACCTCTCTCGTGGCACGGCACATGGAAGCCAAACTCTCAGGTAAATCTATAGATCAGCCAGTACCGTGCATGGAAAGGTTGCAGGGGTATGATTAGCGAGTACAGCATATGTGTTGAATGTATGTGCGACATACATACCATCGACCTACTACAGCAACCACTCGCAAGTATCACAAGTACTGCGGGATTGCATACCATAATCGCGCAATGTCGCGCTAATATCACATATTTAGATGCGGCAAGTTAGCATGCACATCAAGAATTGCAGTTGGAGGAAATACTACCTGTCAGCTGGGACTCCACAAAGGACGGGGAGGAGAGATCGAGAAACGCATGTCACACATGATCGGGCCTTGGACGAAGGAAATTGAATTTGAAAACGATTCGGTTTCCCGTAGGTTATGTGCACGTAGCGAGCTGATGATTGCAACGGCACTACGATTGTGAACCCAAATGCTACAGCACGAAGGGGACAGCCATTTGCATGAATCATGTGGCAATACCAGCGGCAGCACAACAGGTAACGAGGATGTGCATCACATTCACGGCTGCGGAGAAGAGGCTCCTTCATCAAGAGTAGGAGCACAGAGATCACATCTTTGGAGGCATAGTTCAAGGCCGAAACAGAGGTCCCCCAACCCAGAAGAACGAGGAGGCAGGAGGGAGGGGTAGACAGAAAAGCTCTCCAGGAGAGCGTCAAGAGCGACAAAAAAGCGCAGAGCATTCTTCCACAAGCTCGAGGAGGAGCCCTTGGGGAGGGGACAGGAGGCGCGGGACCAGCTCTTGTCAGAACCGGCGTCCGGTAGCGCACGGAAAAAGTTGAGGAACGAGCAACCAAAGTACAGTCGGGGCCCTGAAGAAGGAACCCTTTTCGTTGGGGAGGGGCTCCGCGTTCCTTAAGTGTTTCACAGCTTGCCTCAGGCTTTCCTTATGTTTTCGATCGGAAATCGAAGGTTACCTTATGGAAAAAAGGGGCCTCGTTCCTGCTTTAGGGTTCCTTGGGTCAACGCCCCGACGGTAGCCATGCAGGCAATGTTCCCGAAGCAGGGGAGCTGCGCCGCTCCTGCAGCCACGGCCTGGAGAGGAGAGGCGTGTAGAGCTGCCCCGAACGAGGAGACATACAGTCGGGGCCCTCCCTGAGGGCAGCTGCACCGATAGAAACAACGAGCTCAGCAGTGTATGCATTGTGAGGCTAGCACGGCTAGCACAGGCTCGCCTGTTTGGCAGAAGTGTGTGGCGCAACTGTCTCACTGGATCCGATGCTAAACGGGTACACGACTGCTGATGTACAGGCAGGCCGTGCATGGCAGGGCCAACAATCAGGTGATATTCTACCCACCAACTCCGATGACATTCACCACGCATCCCGCCCTCCCAAGTACAGTCGGGGCCCTGAAGAAGGAACCCTTTTCGTTGGGGAGGGGCTCCGTGCTCCTTAATTGTTTCGCAGCTTGCCTTAGGTGTTCCGTAGGTTTTCGATATGACATCGAAGCTTAATTGATGGAACATAGGAGCCTCGTTCCTTATGTAGGGTTCCTTAGGTCAACGCCCCGACGGTATTAGAGAGAGAGCACGGTGGGCGCCCAGACTCAACAGCACGACGATTGACGTTGCGAGGGCATTGCGGAAAACCTCAGCAGTCCCCAAGGCAGGTGAAGAGGAGGAGGAAGATGCGAGGAGAGCGCAGCTGGCGGAAGCAATCGGGCATGCCCACACGGCGAACAACCACAGCGCAAAGCACAAACTCTGGGTGGAATATCAGAGAGACGGCAGGGGACCGAAGCAGAGATACGATGATTCAACACGGACCTGGCGGGAATACGACGATTGGCACATAGGTAGAGTTGGCCAAACACCCACATGAGGGAGGTCCATGAGCGGAAAGCACCGACCCGAAGCAGTTTGTACAGGCTCGCAGACATATTGCAATTACCAGAGGATATAGACGTCAGAGCTGCAGCGGCCACGTGCAAGAATAACATGCTCAGACGCTGTAGGAAAACAGCCAAGAGGAGAGTCTACCCACTGTGGTGCGGCCTGTTAGAAGCAGCTTGGATGAGCGTACCCTTCCGCACCCAGAGGCGTTGAGCAGCAGAACCGAAGGCATGAATATCAGAACGGCAGATATCCAAGTACGCTTCGCGGTTCAGGTGCAGGAAAGGACGGCCGATATTACAGAAAAACTGATGTGTGGGCGGACAGGGACAGGGGAGAAGCAGAGCGACGAACGACGGGGATGTACTAACAGCCTGCGATGTGATACCGTACCATGTGGGAAGAGACGCAGGAGCGGGGTTAGGGACACAGGAGGTGGCAAGCGCGGAGAGCCCCTTTTTTCTCCAGGCAAGAGTGGAGGGCAGATTCACATTGTGCCGGACAGCAGAACTCACGCCGATGGCTTGGCACCAACCCTTCTCCGTGCGAAGCTGAAAAGCACAAGGGACAGGAGGGAATCGCAGGGAAACAAATTATGCATGCAGATTGTTCGATGATGATGGCCTGGCACACGGGTATATCCAAGAAGAAAGGTACCCAAACACCAATGCTGGGCACGACTTGGCGTGCATGGCAGTTACGCCGTGGAGAGCGAAGGAGGCAGGAGTCAGTTTGACAGATTTCAATTGCGATTGCACGATTGCGTTTGCCAGTGCCAACAGACCACTGATGGCAGCCAGGCAGCATCGGCGCGGGGCGCCTCAGAGGAGTAAGATCGGCCTTACGCGACGCCAGCAGTAGATTATACAACGATGAGAATGGAATGCGCAGACGGATGGGCACAGACACTCATTGCACAGGGAGCACAGATGGGGCTCACAGAACGTGGGAGACAGTTCAACGGCATTGACATCACAAATGGAGGAAAAAAGGAGGGAAAAAGAGAGAGAGAGAGAGAAACAAAAAAAAAGAGAGAGAGAGAGAGGGACAGACTGACTGACTGACTGACTGATTGACTGACTGGCGGACAGGCAGGGACACAGCGAGAGAGGGAGGGAGAGAGAGGGAGAAAGAGAGAGAGAGAGAGGGACACACACGCACACACACACACACACTGACAAGGCCCCACGCGACATGAAGCGCCCGGTCTCTGTAGAAGAGTACGGTCGAGTGGACAATGCGCTCATGGCTGACACGACCCGCGCGAGGAAAACCAGATTGGGACAAGCAGACAGAATTCTGCAGTGTAGCTCACAGACACTTTTTGTTGATCCGCGGGTCGAGAGCGAGCCTCTTCCGGTCGAAGCTAAGCGGGCCGCGCACAGCTTTAATTAACAGAGGAAGGAAAAAAGAAGGCGGGGCTTCACGTCAAGGCCAAGAGAGGGCAAAGCCCCGGGATCAGGCGGTGCCGAAAGCGAAGTGCAGAGCTCACAGACGCAGGGGAGCGATCGGAAGCGGCGCTGGACAGAGGGGGGCGGAGGCTGAAACCCAGGGAGAGCAAGCCACCCACCTCTGCTGGAGGGGCGCTGGACGTGCGCAGACTGCCAAGCAATCACGACGACCGAAGGGAGGGGCTGGAGCTGCCACGCGCCAGATACGGATACCAGGCCGCACGTCGGGCGATGTTTTGTCCAACATAATTAAAACAAATCAAAAAATGGAGGAGTATTTCAAAATCATAAAATACCGGGCGCGATCTACAGGAGGAAGATCCCAAAATAGTCACAAACAAATAGTATGGGGACGATGTTTTGTGAATTGCTTTTTATTGTTTTGGGGTATTTCTGCGCATGCTTAACTTTTCGCCCCAAAATCCGCACAGGCCAGGGGATCAGGGACGGGGGGGAGAGACGCACAGACGACGCGAAACGAAGAAAATTGCACGGGGACAGTGTGGGACTTTTTGCGGTTGACTGACCGTCAATCCGGCGAAGGAAAACACGTTCGTTGCGTTCGCGCGGAAAGTTGGAGCTAGCGGACTGACAGTTTTCGTCTTCCACGGCAGACACAGAGAATCAATGAGCAGGGCGACTGCGGGGGGGCGCCGAGAAAGTTTGCCAGGGAGACATGCCCTGGACGAGGGTGGACGGAGAGCAGATGCCACATCAAAAAACAAGCGTTCAGGGAGAACGGGGGGGGGGGGCGGAAAGATAAGCAGGTTCCCTCGGAGTCAGACGATTACAGTGGCATTGACAACGGACACTCTGCAGGCGGACTACGGAGGAGCGATGGCGGCAGCACTCGGGGGATCCAGCTTGACAGGGGATGTGGAACTTGCGCTTTGAGGACAGCACAGTCCGCCGACTCAGCCAGCCGCCGAGCCCAGACGGTCGCCCAGCACAGGAAACCCACCCCAGCGAACCACACAATGGAGCACATAATCTCAAAAGAGAACAGCGAAGACCCCGAGAGGCCCCAAAGGCTCAGACAGCAAACAAGTTCAATGAGCAGAATAACAAAGCGTCTGCAGCCAGCAAAAGGACTTGGAGAGGACCAACGACGAGCCCCCGAATACAAATGCGCGGGAAAATGACCCCCGCTAACCGCGCCAGATAAGTAGCTGCCACTTACGCCACGCACACTGATGTGAACGCCACACAACCGCGACCCCTCCCCTCTCTTTCAGACCAATATGGCCAATATGACCACTGAAACAAGCAGAAACTGCTCACGAGGGCACGAATAGACGGGACGAGCAATCGGATGGCATATTCTCGGCGACCAGAAGTGAGCGAGTCGTCGGTGTCAGAGGGCATCGACGAGTGGGGATTTCAACAACAGCGAGCAGGCAACGCGAAGTACGGAAAGGATCCAGACCCCTGACCCCAAGATGGGCCCCACTCAGATCAGCAATGCCAAGGTGATCAACAGATGCCACGAAGCAGCGAGGAAAATCGCGTGGATGTTCACGATAGGGAAAGCAGAATGACAACATATCCCTTTGTACATGCCCATGCCGGAGGACAACGGGCAGGCCCGACTGGAAAACTCGAGGTGCAGGGAGGCGCCAGTTCCCGCGCAAACCCCTTACCAACGCAGAGCTGAACGCTCTGGGGGACAAGCGCACCACCTCCATGGAGACAGGCCGAGACCTCCAGGATAGAATTCGAGGCAGTGGGCAGGATTTGGGTTCTTCTTACATATGCCCGGGGCGTTTGTGTTACAGCTTGGTTAACTCGGCGCGTTGGACATCGTTGCTGCCCCAACCATCCTGGGGTGTTGGCTCCTCGTTTGGGAGAGACAGCGCCCTGCGTCCCACCTCTTCCTCGCCTCCTCCTCCTCATCATCCTCCCTCTCCTCCTCCTCCTCCTCCTCCTCCTCCTCCTCCTCCTCCTCCTCCTCCTCCTCCTCCTCCTCCTCCTCCTCCTCCTCCTCCTCCTCCTCCTCCCCCCCCCATGCCCCATCCTCATCCTCATCACCATCATCATCATCATCATCATCATCATCATCATCATCATCAGCAGCAGCAGCAGCATCAGCATCATCAGCATCATCATCATCATCAGCATCATCATCACGATCACCATCACCATCACCAGCATCGTCGTCACCCCATGCGTTGGCAGGGTTCGCATGGCGCCACCGCACCCATTTCGGCACACCCCTCACACGTTTCGTGGCCCCACAGGGAGCTCCACCGAAGGCCCCAGTGGCAGGGCTCGCATGCTCACATGTTTCGTGTCCCCATAAAGGGGGTTCCACCGAAGACCCCAGTGGCAGGGCTCGCACGGCGCCACCGCACCCACTTCGGCACACCCCTCACACGTTTCGTGGCCCCACACGGAGCTCCACCGACGGCCCCAGTGGCAGGGCTCGCATGGCGCCACCGCACTCATGTCGGCACACCCTTCACACGTTTCGTGGCCCCACACGGAGCTCCACCGAAGGCCCCAGTGGCAGGGCTCGCATGGCGCCACCGCACTCATGTCGGCACACCCTTCACACGTTTCGTGGCCCCACACGGAGCTCCACCGAAGGCCCCATTGGCAGGTCTCGCATGGCGACACCGCACTCATTTCGGCATACCCTTGACACGTTTGGTGGCCCCACACGGAGCTCCACCGAAGGCACCATTGGCAGAGTTCGCATGGCGCCACCGCACCCATTTCGGCACACCCTTGTCACGTTTCGTGTCCCCACAGGGAGCTCCACCGAAGGCCGCACTGGCAGGGCTCGCATGGCGCCACCGCACCCATTTCGGCGCACCCTTGACACGTTTCGTGTTCCCATCGGGGGCTCCTTCACCGAAGGCCCCAGTGGCAGGGCTCGCATGGCGCCACCGCACCCATTTCGGCACACCCCTCACACGCTTCGTGGCCCCATAGGGAGCCCCACCGAAGGCCCCAGTGGCAGGGTTCGAATGGCGCCACCGCGCCCATGTCGGCACACACACACACCCCACGCGTTTCGTGACCCCACAGGGAGCTCCACCGAAGGCGGGGCTCACATCTGCGGTGTTCACAATTGCATATGGCTGGGTCCCTCGCCAGGATTATTCGCGCTGGAACGACTGATTTGTCTGGGCGTTTTTGGCTACGTTCTTGTAATGGCGTCTTCAGACGAGCTGATTGCGGTGATTAGCATTGCCCTGGCATCGCTCGGACGCGTGCATTCTTTTCTCGGCGAGAACCATCGAGGACCATCCTGGACCATCGCGCCCCCCCAAAAAAACGCGCACGAAAACCGACACAGGCACGCGAAATGGACGTCCCAGCCATGGCCACGACGTCCTCGGCTCCTCCTCCCGGCGCCCCGTCCCCGGCCCCCCGGGGCTCCCTCTCGGCTCGATGGCGCGCCGCCCCCGGAGACGTTCCCCGGGAAGGGGGGGCGTCGGGCACCGGGGCCCCGTGGCCGGCTGCCCCCCCGGGAGCCGTCGGGCCTCCGGGTCTGTTCCGGGCCAGCGTTAGACTCGGGGGCGGAGAAGAGGGGGGTGATGATTAGGGGGGGGGGGATATCAAGCATTCCGGTGAACCATTCAAGCTTGAAGAGGCCAAAAATTACGACAGTTACCGGATCCCGATGACCCGTTCGGATAAATAACATGGGCTGCTGACCCCATAGGGGGGGGCTCCCGCATGAGACTCCCTCGCAATTCACTCACAGACGAAGCTCCCTCCTCAGACCTCCCTCATATTCTAGACGCTTCGCGTATCCCCACCAGCCCGTCCAGAAACGACGCCCAGGCGAGTAGAGGGTCGTCCTGAGGGGCTTTTCGGCGTCTTGGGTGCCTCGGGGGGGCCTCTGTGGGCCGTTCGGGATCCTCTTTGGGGCCTCCTGGGGGCCTCTTGGGGCCTCTTGGGGCCATCTTGGGGCCTCTGGGAGCACCTTGGGTGCCTCTGGGGGGTCTCTTGGGGCCTCTTGGGGGTCTCTTGGGGGCCTCCTGGGGGCCTCTTGGGGGGCCTCTTGGGGCCATCTTGGGGCCATCCTGCGGCCTCTTGGGGCATCCTGGGGGCCTCTTGCGGCCATCGTGGAGGAAATCGATCAAAGAAGAGGGGAGCCTTAATTAGCGTTGCCCCCTCAGAAGGCCAAAATGGGGCCAAAACCTTAGTAAAATCAATGATTTTGGCTTCCTCGGCGAGGCCGTTTTGGACGCTCTGACCGCTCCCCGCCCCTCCTGTCCAGGTCAGTGGGGAGGGGGTAGGGGGAGGGGTAAACCCCTCCCCGAAGGGGAAGAAGGAGGGGTGGAAGAGGAAACTCGTTAAACCACCGACGCCCTAAAGGGCTGGTAGGATTCAGGCCTCAGGGGCCCAACAGTGACAACAGTTGCAGGATCCCGATGCGAGGTTCGGATTTGTAACATGAGCTGCGGGCCCCATAGAGGAGGTTCCCGCCTGAGACCTCATCGCAATTCGCTCACAGACGAGGCATGAGTGAATGAGAGTGATCGAGGGTGTGTGAGAGAGTGTGGCGATGATGATGTGGTGATGATGATGATGATGAGGAGGAGGAAGAGGAGGAGGAGAATGTGAATGTGAGTGTGTGAGAGTGTGTGAGTGAGAAGAGGGTGTGCTCTTTTTCTTGCGCGGGGTGTCCAGAGAAAACAAGATAACCACTTTGGAAGTGGAGTTTGGATGTTCGTTGGTTTGCCAATAACCTCGCCCTCCACCATCTCCAGACGCGTGCAGGATCAACAAGATTCTCAGGCAGGCGAATAAGTTTCGAAGTACGTCGCAATGCTTAGGATTGTTATTGGATCCGCTCACGGTTCACTCAGGGAGGCGGCCTCCGCCCAAGAGTTCCTCACAAGGTTCTCGGGAAAGGAAATGCTCGGGAAGTTCTCGGGAAGGAAATGTTGTTGCTCCAGATTTCTTCGCGGCGGGCCCAGGTATATGACCCCACGTGAGACGTTCAGGCGATGACCTTAGGCAACGCGAGGCGTTCCAGAAAGGGCATCGCCTTCGAAGACCGAAGGAGTTGCCATCTCTTCCTCGGTGGAAGGCGGCGGAAATGAAACGACGCTACCTCACTCGGCGGAAGGCCAGCGTAAGCTGGCGCAAAGCGGCAGAAGTAAAAATTGCCCTCCAATAGGTGACAGCATTTGGGGGCCCAGGGCTGCCAGAACCCGCCGCGTGGCCCTCGAGCAGGCCGACCCCCCCCGTGTCCGCTCGGTCGCTCGGCATGCACCGCCAGCTTGCTCGGGCGAGCGAGCCGACACTTCCCAGCCCGCTCGCGTGTCGACCCCCCCACCCCCTCCCGCGGGAACGGGCGCGTGAGCCGGTGGTCTGTCAAGCGCCAATTCGGGCTCCCCCCGCCCTCCGTGCCACCTCCTGCTCCTCCTCCTCCTCATCCTCTCCTCCTCCTCCTCCTCCGCCTCCTCCTCCTCCTCCTATTCCCCCCTCCCCCTCCCCCTCCCTCCTCCTCCTCCTCCCTCCTCCTCCTCCTCCTCCTCCTCCTCCTCCTCCTCCTCCTCCTCCTCCTCCTCCTCCTCCTCCTCATGCTCCTCCTCCTCCTCCTCCTCCTCCTCCTCCTCCTCCTCCTCCTCCTCCTCCTCCTCCTCCTCCTCCTCCTATTCCTCCTACTCCTCGGGCTCCGGCAGGTACAACCTGGTGAACCGGGGGTCCGCGAGGAAGTTGCTGAGGCACCCGTTTCTCGAGGTCGCGACGGCATAGGGTGAGCCTCCGCAACCGCTCCTTCGCCGGAGCGTTTCGCGTTCTCTTTTTGTTCGGAGGACGCCAGCTGCACGCCTACAGCGGTTCTGGCCAGGCCAGTCTGGGGCCCAGGATCGATGTGCACGCTTTCCTGGCCAAGCCAAGAGAGCCTATACAACAGGCTTTGGACCCAGGATGGGCCTGTCCAGAATCGGTGCAAGTGCGAAACTGGCGTCCTCCTACCAGTTCCACGGAGAGCTCCTTAGCTTTGGCCGCGGAGTGCGCAGCCGCTCTCCCCAGCCTCGGCCGCCGAGAGGCGGTGCGTGCGGGCTGGTCGCCGTGTTTCCAGGTCCGCGACTCCTCGTTGGGAGTACGGAGTTATTTCCTAGGCGTAGGCTTGCTATGCGTGGGCTTGGGCAAACCCATGGGAGCTGGGGCCCCAGGGGCGCGTGAACTTTTAGTAACGCTCTCACTGTGCACGGTGCATACACCACGCCACTCAGTGAAGTGCGCAATTCCGAATTTGCGAGAGGCGACCTTTCCCGCGCCTCTCTTGGGGAAAAAAGTTCCGTCTACGGTCGCGGAAAGCGCCGACGTACCCACAATATGTATGCGACCATGTCAGCCGTATTGTTCAGGGTTTCGGGCGGGGTGCGCTGCTGCTGAAGACGCAGTCGTACATACCACTTGGGAAAAAGATAGGTCACGGAGCAAAGACAGCGAGCGGTGCACATCATCGTCAGGCACGGATCGATACATGTCAGGCCCGCGCGCGTGGAATTCAAAGTATGGCCAGCTGCTGCAGCCTCTGGGTCATTGCGACAGACCTTTCGACCTATCGTTCGACGGTCGTGGATCTCCTGCCCGCATCCTATACTACGTATCCGTCGCCTTTTGCAGGCGGATGTCACATTTCTCAAGTCGCACTTGGTTTTGAGTCGAACGACCATGCCCTGAGACCCAATTGTTCGATGCTGCCGTGGATTGACGTGCAGTCGGTCTTATGCACCAGTGTGTATTCATATACATATCGATGTGTATATGTATATATATATATATATATGCTCACAGCGCCCTCTGTGATCCACCTTTCTCGTCTTGATTTGTTTTATTATCCCTTCTTCTTTTCACCGTCTTCTTATTCGCTCCTTCCACCATCCCTTCACCCTCCCTCCCTCCTCGTATCTATCTCTCTTCCTTCTCCCTCAACCCTCCTCCCTCGATAGCGGTCACTTCTGGAGTGGTGTTTTCGTGGCGGTTGCGATGCGATTGCAATGTAACCATACAGATATTATATGTATATATATATGCTGTAACCATGTGTATATACATATATATATGTATATATATATATATATATATATATATATATATATGTGGAAGTGGTAGGGGGTCCCGGGCCCCCAAAGTGCACTGATTTAGCTTCCCGCCGTTTCGGACCCGGCGGGGGCGTCAAAAAAACGTCGAAAGGGGCCGAGAGACGTCCAAGAGTGCGCCGAGATGGCCCAAGAGCGCTCCAAGAGAGCCCAAGACCGCACAAGAGCGTTTCAAAATTGGTCCAACATGGCTTGAAGACAGCCCAAGAGGGGCTTCAAGACGGCCAATGCTTTCAAAAGGACTCCCACGAGGCACTCAGGAGGCGGAACAAGTGGGTTGTTTTTCCAGGGTTCTTGAAGATTTTTCGTGTTCTCGCTGTTTTGTGCTTCCGACGGTCCAGGACAGCCCACGAGGCCCCAGAAATCAGCTCAACATGGCCGAAGAGGCACCCAAAGAGGGCGCCACGACGGCGCTAGAGAGCGCCAAGACGGCCCAAGAGCGCCCCAACACGGCCCACGAGGCGCCCAAGATCGCCCAAGAGGGGCCCAAGAGGGGGAACACGAACCGACAATTCGAGCCTTCCGCCCCAAGAGGCCTTCAGGAGGCCCCCAACAGAGCCCAAGAGGTCCCCCAGAAGCCCCCTAGAGGCCCCACGCCCCCAAGAGGCCTTCAACACATACCGGTGCATAGCAAAGGACCGCCTAGCCGATCGTGGCATCGCAGCGTTGCATGACATGACATGGCACGGCACAGCACGACAGAGCTAACCGTGTCAGTGCATATCACAGTATGGTTCAGCATGCCATAGCATTACATTGCATAGCAGTGTCCAGCTGAGCCTAGCACTGCACGTCACGACGTAATGACACGCCGTGGCGTACTATGGCATTACAATGCACATGAATCAATCGAACAGCACCGTCCTGCTCTGCGCAACACTAGACATAAATCATGTAAATAGCACACCCCCGTTGTTGTTCTTACTGTCGTCTGGTTAATTTGATCCTAGCAGCTCATAACATGGCATAGCATTGCATTGCATTGCATAGCACGGTATGCAGTGTCTGTGCATACAATGTAACGCGGTAACTTGGTTTTTTCATTGGAAACATAGCATGAGATGGTGCAGCGTATCATCCCATATATCATGGTAGCTTTTCGCAGCACAGCATGACATGGCATGCAATGCGCACCGTAGAGTATATCATGCTAGTGCATTGCATACTGCATAGTGGCATTGCGCTTTATAGCATAGCATGGTGTATCATGGCATGATATAGCATAGTGCAACATGGCGCTGTAGCGCTGCATTTTTCCTGGCCCATAGCTTGGCGACAGATCGCCGGTCGTTCCAGCGTTCCAGAAGACATGGAACAGTCCAGTGCGTGTGTTGAGCATTGTGCGATCCTACTTGCGACAGTTTACTCAGCTGATGCTTGTCAGTCAGGCTCTCTTTTTGTTGATTGGGCCACTCTCCTCAAGGGTGCCGAGGCCCACCAGTGCGCCCTGTCTGGGGCGAACCCGAAGGCCCATTTCTGGAGGGAGATTGCCCGCTGGTCCCCAGCGGACCATCCGAGGCTGTGCTGAGTCAAGGCCCATAGGGATGAGGAGAGTGTGGCAGATAACCGGATGTTTCTGTGAGAGGTATCTAACTTGCTGATTATCATGCTGGGCAGGCCGCGTGTGCCCACAATGTCAGCAATGATCTCTTCGGTAGATGCAAGGGCACTGCTAAGCTGTATATCACCCTACTGCACGGGATGGGGAAGGTGTTTGGGAGTTAGCCTATGTTCGGGGAGCTGGGGGAGTTGCAAGGGCTCGGCGTGCGATGGGTTCAGACCATCACGCTCATCTCGGCGATCCCTGACGCAGACTGCATACAGGCCCGCATGGCGCCCTAGAAGCCTGAAGCACAGGTTGCCGTCCGACGTCCTTGGCGCCAGACTGGGACATGGGGTGTGAAAGGCTTGGGAGCTGACCTCGGACCCACACGAGCCCGACCCAAGAGGCCCCCGCAAGAACCACGCACTCCATGCAATGTGGTTTAAGGGGAATGGCCTCGCAGGTGTGCAATTGTATTGCGTGTGGTGCGCTCACTTCTTGTACAGCGGGTAAGGAGCTCGCCCGCCCGTGCACGACCAAGGCCGGCTCAGAGAGCAGAAGGAAGAGGACGCCGACAATGAGGACTGTCACACTAGCGACCTCGCGGGCTCCGCCAACCCTGGAAGAGGTTCAAGCAAAGTTCTCGGCAATTACTTGTGCCTGCCCTGAGAAGTCATTTGTCCAAGCACAGGACCACAAGGTCGATCCGCCGGAAATCATTTGGGGAAGCCGGCATGTGCGATTTAGCGTGCGTTCCACGTTCTTGGCGGGGATCATGCCACCAAGCGAAGTAAATGGTTCGACCGTGGAACCGCGCAGTAGTACAATGAGCTTGGCTGTTTGTAAAGAGGGGAACCTAACGATGAATGATAATAGCTTCGCCCTTTTAGTAGCCAACTTAGCTCCGAACGCTTGCATGCATTCGGTGGTCCCCAATGGTTTGCCCAAAATCTTCATAACTCGCTATTCCAAATGTTCATTGCTTTTCCACATTCCCGGCGGTGCAGTGGCAAAGTTTGCGGGACACTGGGCGTCAATAAAGCTCCATGCCGTCTTTGCCCATACGGAGGTTAATAGTACATGAAATTGCGAATATTGCACATACCGTTTCCAAGATGTCGACAGGGTCAATGGGTTCGTATGCCACATGTATGTCGTCCATATATGTTATGAATTCCGATTCTCTGGGTAAGCGCCACTGGATACTTTCCAAGGCCGTGTGTAAATAACCGTGGCATCAATGCATGCTTTTCTTCTCAATCGTCACCTTGCCGGATAATGTATGGACGATCTTCGGCATCCCGTTATTAAAGTATTCATTGTGTACCCATACGTGCCACATTCGAACACATATTACTAAACCATGCCAGGTTGAATCATGCAAGAGATGTTAAAATAGTCGTGCCCTTTTGATGTGGTCGACGGTCCATCGCCATCTACATTTAAAGCAATTTTGGTAGGATGTTTTTCAAGCAAATACGGAAGGAAGCACACGAGGATGATAAGGGAGGGTATGATTGGGCAATCAACGTGTTTCCTCGAAGGTCTCGGAAGAGTTCTCGAGATCTCCAGAAGCAAATACACAACATTCGTGAACACCTTCCAATTCCAGCTACCGATCCCGCCGCAGATTTGGTTCCAATTCCGATTGCCGATCCCGCCAAAGGTACCAAAGCATCGAAACGGATGAAGTTGACAAGGGAAGCAAGGACGATGCCGATAAGAAGAAATGTTTTCTCGGACCTCCGTGGGATTCCTTTGGAAGTACGTCCGAAGTGTATTGGTCATGTTGGGAGCCCCATGAACGATTTCAACTCACCCTGGGAGTCCCAACATGGGACACGGCAGGGCCTGTAATATCGATGATCTTCCGGTTCCTATCCGCCATATGGTATGCGCATGTGTATTCAGGTGCCGAGTATGGTTTTAAATGTCATCGAAAAGCAGTACACATCTAAAATGTGCATTTTAATCATGAGTTGCGGCACTGGCACTGACAAGTCGGTGAGCGTGCATGAAAAATCGGATTCCATTACGTCTCCCGCGCAGATTATGAAAGATTATGGATCGGTGAGGTTGGGCACCAGGGGCCTCCCTGGACA